CTTTCAAAGACGACCTTATCATTGACGTGCGCTTGTTTGTCATGAGCGTGGAAGTGAGAGTCGACCTTGCTTTGCGGCAAACATACTTTCCAGACAAAGTCAATTAAGTTTATTTAAAACAAATCACATTCTAGCAAACGACAAAATTCAACCAAAATTAAGACCTGTTCAATTTCTGCTAGATTCCATATTCTTTTTGTGAAATATATTTAGGAATCGGTTCATTTTAGAAAATCCCATAGTCAGGATCTCACCCTACTACTGATATCAGCTAGTTGTTTATGGATGGCTGGATGAATTATGTATGGTCTGGGCGTTTTATTACGTTAAGTTCGCTCAACACCCTGCTCATATCCTTTTGCGTTATAATAAGTTCCTCTATAGGNTATAGGTGGAACCTGTTGACCCCCACCAGGCAGAACAACCGGTCTTTTATCCTTCTTGAGTACGCTACCTAAGTAACTCCCCAGTACTGTACCGTTTCCTGGTCAATTGTGGCTAGTGTATTGCCTTCTAGGTTAAGGGCAACTATCACATTCTTAAGTTCCCTTTGACTGCACTTAACTTCAGTATCTCCGGAGCTTTTTTTTGCATTTTTGGCTAGACTCAGCTCGTATTTGCGTTTCTCGCTTCGAACAGTGCAAACGGTATCACGTCTATGTTCTATATGACGCATCCATGATAGCTTCAATCCTGCCATGCGGTATCGATTCCAGCTGGCATTAAAATGACGTATTGCCTTACCGATATCAGCCCCCCCAACAATTTGGCTTACCTAATGAACTCCGCTGTTGCTGAGCTGCAAACTCATCCTGTAGTGCAAGTGAATTCTTCTTAAATATCTTCCACGAATTTTCCACCGAAGATCTATTTTCGGATTCCTGCAGAATGAACTTATATGCTGCCTACTACAGTCCGTGCAGTTCAAATTTTCCGAAGTTGCGCTCCACTTGCCCCTAATGATTCGGTAACCTTGTCTTCAGTAAAAACCTAATCGCTATGTAGTAGATCTTCCCTATCGGGGACAGTAGTTTAATTCCAGCACATCCTTCTCATAACGCGTAATAAAGACCCAGCAGAAACGTTTGCTGTCCGGGCGTTTTATCTTTCAGGTGCTGGTAACTTGGTTTAATGTGCATTCAGTCTATGGAGCCCTGCTCATATCCACCTTCCAAACAATTATCTACATCCCATTTTATACCTGATACGTTGGAACCTCCAGTATTACTAGTTTATGGGGCATCCGTACTAGGGTATTGGAGTTGCTCATCCTCCACTGGCATATACTCGAACTTCAGTATACACATGCTATGTTTATTTTGCGCCCCTCGGTGGTGATGGGGGCTGAGCACATCTCTATGCGGCTCTTGCAAACTGCAATATACGACCTCAATCGCCGAACATCCTTTCTTACTCAAAGGATTACACCGCCAGCGTGCAAATGTTTACATCGATCCCACCCATAACCTCAGGTTTAACGGACCAGTGACGGAACATGATCGTGACTAACGAGTCATGATTCTCAGATGATTTACACAGTAGCTTTGTTTTCGTTCGCTATATTTAGTGTTTCCCCCAAATTTTACTTATACTATACACATCTGTGCGCAGTACTACTATTTTACGTTCACACAAGACTAACAATCTCCGGATTCCATATTTTCCTATTTCCGTGTACCCCTTGGGTGTAACATCCAAGAGAACAACAGGATTATAAATTTACATTTATTTGCTCTATTAAGATGCATGCTTTATGCCTTAAGATGGCGTTAACCTCTGTGGTTGTTGAGGTTTTGCTTATCTGTTTAGTTGTCCTGGATTCGTCCAAAGTTCCATCACTTTCCTTACTTTTCTCCGACTCCAGCTGTAGGTAGCTTCGCCACTGATTATTTTCCAATACGTTGTCGATAAGTACGACAAGTGACAATCTACTTATACCCACTTGTCTTGGACTCTGTTGCTTAGGATGGGTTTTCATCGACTACCGCTTACTAAGTTATTTATTACCGTCAGGTTGCAATTTGTTTGGGCCCCTGAGGACAGCAGATACTCCTTTGTACCTTCCAAAAGAAACATCCCAAATTCTCTGGGACTCCATTAGCAGATTTTACGATTACTCGGCTATAAATATTCGACAAATACGGGTCTAGCTTGGTTGAAAATAGGTTTGCCTTTTTATATGTTTTTATAAGTATTTATTCATATTCCATTAAAAAAGCGTTTTCTCTGTGACTGTCAAATTGTATGGGAATAACTCTATTCGCTCTTATCCTGTTTTAAGCGTTATCGTGGAGTTTCCACAGAAAATTCACCGGACACGTTGGTTCTTCCGTCATAGTAAACACTAAATCTGTCCTCCAATTTATGTTTTATAAAACATCTCTCCTCAAAAATATGCCCTCTGAAGAGAAGACTTCACCCACGCAAGAGACTCCGATGCCGCATGCAGCGTCCGTAACCAGTGACTGGGTCAGCACTCAGTTAGTGCCCGAAGCAGCTCTAGTTGTCCTTGACCGCGAAGGTTCGATAATACACGAACTGCGAGAAAAAGTAGCGGCACTAGATAATGGCGTAAGTCACTTGACAGCGTTGATTAACGATAATTTTCTAACACGGGAATCTGCAGATCAGGCAATCAAGATATCCAAACAAAATATATTTGACACTGCAGTCAAAGTAGAAACAGCGGATTATAATTAGGAGTAGTTTTCGAAATTCAGCTCTTCAGTTCGGGTAAAGAAAACCCTGCTGGGAAGCCTCATATTCCCATCCTTACCCAAAACAAACATAGCATTGTGGCCGATGTCTAATACGAAGAAGATGAAGATAGGCATCCGTATCACCTTTAATTAGGAGTAAGCGATACCAGATGCCCTCGCCCAAACCCAGACCCGGGAAAAAGCGTGCAACCTTTTCGGCTGAGTCTCCCCAGACAGACCACTGCATTTCTGAACTTAGCGGAAGCAAGCTCTTAAGAGTAATAATGGTGCGAGTGACCCGAAACTCAGTTGCCTCCTCAAGACACGACGAATACCCAGGGCCTTTATTCCATCTTCTGCGACGAGAACCAAACCTACCCAAACCGCCCCGACACCAAGGCACTAATCCCCGTCTACCATACAGGCTTACCTCAAGAAGCCTCCCACGCCAAATCCACATAGGATCGGTTTACTTGGCGAAATTCCCGATTTACTTCCACCATCCAAATTATTGGCACCATGATATCCTATTATCCTTTAAGTGAATCCCAAAAGCCAACAAGGATTCGTTGCGCACTCCTATAGGGGACAGAAAACTGCCCCTTTTCACTCCACATCATACCCTATTTGTTCTCTCACTCTCCTCGACAAGTGGATACAAACGTGTTGCAGAATATTCTGCAAATCGGACCTTCTAAACGTTCTACGTACTCCAAGCGTAAAGCTCAGATTAGAGCCATTCCAGAAGATCTCCTCTCCAGCCTTGCTACTAGTAAAATATCTGGTTTATGGTCCCTAAGACGAACCTCCATCAACTGTCTCAGCATTTTGAACTAGACGCTGGAAGTCAAATAGTTGGTGGATGACAAGAAACTGCACCTTTTAGCCCTCGCGAAAATCTGGCCGTCTCCAAAACACGGCGATGGCGAAGTATTCATCGTAGGCTGAGTGGTGGTGGCGCAATGATTTAGTCGCTGTCACCGGAGTGCTTTGGATCCTATAGTCCGAGGTTCTAGCCCCTTCACCACTACCCAACTTTGGCGGTAGGTAGCTCTAATGTCATCCTGTTCAATACCACGTCTGACCTAGCTGGAAATAATGTGGTACGCCACTCCAAGTCCCGAGGTTTAGACCAACGGCATACCCTCATGACTATGGGGTTTACCCCCTGTTGTTCAACACACCAAGGTGTCAGTAAACAAAGGTTACTCATTCATCCGGAGATACTCAGTGAGAGGCAGATCAGGTGATGTGATTTTCTAAACAAGTGACCACTTTCCATGAGCGAATATTTCATCTCTCTCCCATTCCTTCCATAGACTGTCTCTGGGTCCAAATCTCTTTGAACCGCTCAAAGACACTGGTGCTAGAAATATTGTATCGTTAATCCGCCTTGGTGAGTTAAAATAGCAACTTCTGATAGCTCAGTTGAATAATTTAGGATCTATGCACCCTAAGTAGCACATCCTTATAACTGAAGACCTCACTACTCCGGAAATAGATTGGCTTAGACTTCTCACCCGGGACAATACCTTTGGAAATCTATTATGCCACTTGTTCACAGAGCTTTCATAGTCTCAGCACGTCACACGCCCAACCAGTTTCTGAAACGAGCAATCCCCTTCACTGCTAGACCTTGTCGTAACAGGTGATAGTTACCTCACTGACGCAGTATAACAGCACTGCCATTTAGGCAAGAGTGACCGTATTATACTCTCTTCCGATATAATAGTCCACTGGCCCAGCTGCGCCTCTCCATATCTTAGGAATATTCGTACCTCTAAAAGCATAAACTTCAGCAACCTGAAGCACTTCCTCAAGCCCATTTCCAGAAAGCCAATCAGATGAAGGATATCGACCTCCAGAACAGTATAGTAGAGCGGTGTATCCGCACACCGGATTATCTGTCCGTGCNCCGCGTCTGTACCCCCCCCCCGCCACTTCTTACCGCGAGGTATTCGTAACTTACTAGAAGAACGTTAGCGGTCCTTTGTTAAGTACAAATTGATGGATCTGACGGAAGATGCTAAGGGCTTTAACCGCATTCGCAAATTACGCAAAGGCAGGATCAAGCTAGGACACGGATTAACCGGTCGGTCCTATATAAATTTACGTCAAAATCTCGGAAAAGCTCCCCATCTACCCTTGCCTCATCTCAACCTGACTGAACCCCAACCACCTGATCTTCAGAAATGGTGGAAATGTTCCGGTCTCACTTTGACTAATTATTCAACGTCCCTTTACCTGCAACTGTGAGAACCTTTGAGGTTGTTCAGGTGTGTTCTCTGGAATTTCATGTCTGTGGTTCACTTAATATTAATGATATATATTTCACGAAGCCCGTGAAGCATGCACAAGGCATGATCTTCTTCTTGTATGAACTCACAGCTAGAAGAATTGGAGCTTGTGCGCTGAGTCGGCAATCGAAAAGTGACACACTATTCTATTTATATGTCTACGGTGGACGGACTCATTTTCAAGTCAACAATTCTATAGTGTTCATCCAATTTGAATCAAAACTATGGTGCGCAGTCCATTTCCGCGGCAACAAATCATTTCGACGAAGTTTAAACTGAGGTAGGTTTAACGGAGCACTCTGTTCCCTAGCAATTCTGCCAGAGTATTCCCTTTCACAAAGTGAGTAAAATTACAGTTCCACATTGAGGATCTGTCAACGCTTTGATCAAGATCATCAAAAGTGAATGTGAACGGATGACATAGTGTCTTTTATTGTTTCCTTATAGTTTTTAGTTTCTTTTTCGGTTTTCCATGTTGAGATGAAGTGAAAACATTATGAGAGAAAATAGACTTCAGCTAGTCTGTCACGCTCTTGGCGGTAGAACGCTGTGGCTATTGTTCACGACAATCTGTATAGCTCTACCTCGACTAAAGGAATGCACAGGGCCGCAAGGGTGAAGTCAGCCTTGGGCAAGGCAGGAAAACAAACCCACGACCATCTAGAGTAGTACCTTTCCAAAAATAGACCAGTGTTCGCATGTATCTGGGAGACATCGGTCGAGGATTCCGTTCAGTCGATAATGCACGAGATTTGTGAATGCAGTCGGTGGGCGCGGTCTTATCGGAACCCCGAGATGATACGACTATGCTGCAAGTGAGCGTTCGTACCGAAACAGAACGAGACACTTCCAGAAACGTACGACAGTTATACTGTTTAAGCCTATGGAGTCAAGGGAGAAAATGTGACAGCGTGAGGAAGCGTGCGGGAAGTGAAACCAAACACACGTTGACCAAACATTGGCCTTGATGCGGTAAAACAATGAGATGCAAGAGGAGGGAGCTTACATGTATCGTGTACAATAGTTCGTGTTACTCTTCGTTAGAAGGTTTGGGTGAGCCTGGAAAAGAATGGAAGAAAGAAGGTATTACATAAAAATCATTCATTACGGGACTGAGTTAATCAGCATCCTACCAGGCGGTTTACCGGGGTCTTGCAAGTGGACACTTTCGAAGAAACTACGCATTTCCTCGGCTTTCTCGCCGTTGGTCAAGGCGTGCTGGCCCCTAGTGTTCCTCATGCATCCAACCGCTACTCGGGTAGCTGCACTGGACTGGACATAGCTATATTATGCCTTCGGGCAGTCTTTGGCTCTGTTTGCCAGTCTTTATTCAAATTGAAGCCGGTAAACCATCTCGACTCTTTTGGCTCTTTCAATCTTCCCCTTGTATTGTACAAGGCATCTATGGCTACGCTTGCTTTTTTAATTGCTGTGCCTTTTTGGCCCAGCTCGTCCACCAGGACGGCTTTTCTTTTTTTCTACCAGCTCTAGGTAGTGCAACTTCTTCAGTGAGACACGCGAGCTTCTCCTTGGAGAGCTGACAATCCTCTTCAACACTCCTGTACTACTTGTTCCATTTCAGTCTTCCAGCCTCCTCGAGCATTCGCTGTTTATCGATTTTATTATAAACCCTTGTCAGCTTCGGTAGGGCACATCTATCGCACTTAGGATGGTAAAACACAACGCTCCTTGGTCACCCCGCCCAGTTGGTGCTGAGATTATCAAGCAGTCGACCTTACTGGAATGTTTCGTGATCACCAAGTCCAGGGCCTGGGGTTATTCTCTACCCGCCACCTTGTTGGAGTTGTGATATGCTGGGCAAGAGCAAGGTCTAGTATGAACTTCACTATATCGTCCCCAAATGTGTTAGGCGGAGAAAACAGTTCCTCCCACATTGCCTCAGAGGCGTTGAAGTCTCCAACAATTACTACGATTCCGTTCCTTTTTGCTACACTCTTCAGGAATGACAGCGGCTGGCGATCTTCGTCCTGACTTGATGCTGGGCTTCTATATGCACATGCTACCTAATTATCCCTTCCTGGGGCTTTGATGCAACACGAAGTGGCTTGAACGTTAAGCGTCACTAACTGCCCCCTCCAGACACTTGC